TGATATTCCTGCCTACACATTCACGCCAACCGGTCAGCGTGTCAACTTCAAATTGAACAAGTTGGTGTCCGTTGCCAAGCAGCAACCTCATTTCGGCGAACAGGAGGTCACAATTTTCATCACCGGTCTGCCCCAACAAAAACTGCGTGACGCCGAGCGTGCTAACCAAAGGCTCATACAAGCCTATTTGCAAATGTACAATGGACAAATCCAGGTACAAATCAACCACGGCGATGAGTTTGAGCAGGCTGTTTCGTCAAGCGAGGAAACTACCAGCCAACAGCGCAGACCCACTGGCAATCTAGTAGTCATCGACTTAGGTGCTGTCATCAGGAACTTCGAAGAATTGGCTCTGCTAGACATCAACAGAGTTGGTGCTAACATCGGTAATACCTTGGTCCAACTCACGTCGCAAGCTGATGTGCCCCAGGAAGTTATCAGCATCGTTGCACAAGGCATTGGTGCCCACGTAGCCGGTGCAGCTGCACGTCAGTATACCCGTCAAACAGGCAACAAGCTGCGACGCATCACCGCAATGGATCCCTCAAAGATCTATGCACGCAAACCCAATACACTAGTCGGTTTGACACGCGGCAGTGCTGACTTCGTCGACGCTATCCACACCTCCGCTTACGGCATGGGTACAGTTTCACGTGCTGGCGATGTTGACTTCTACCCCAATGGCCCTTCAGTCACCATGCCCGGTACTGATGATATCATTGAATCTTCTCTGCGCGCTACTCGTTACTTCGCCGAGTCAGTGCGTCCAGGCAATGAACGTAATTTCCCAGCTGTCGCCGCTGAGTCGTTACAACAGTACAAAAACAACAATGGTGATGGTCGACGCGCCTACATGGGAATTGCTGCCGATTACGATCTGGAAGGCGACTATATTTTGCAGGTAAATGCCAAAAGCCCATTCGGAAAAAGCACCCCTGCTCAGAGGCAGAACACTTATCATGGAATCCACCCGGTTGCCAGTCGCACCAGTTCAAACGATTATTAGAAGATATTCAAGATGACCAAAGCCACTGACTCAGCTTTAAATATGCATACCTACATTGCATTTGATTTAATTAAAAAAATGTTCACTTTTATATTTGCTTTTTACTCTAAAGAGTAAACCTGATTTGTAAATAAAAACCATTTGGTATTAAAAAATAATTTCCGTGATATCAATATCCCATTGAAATAGTTGAATCTTTCAAAAACTAAATTAATATGGATCCTGGGGAAATCGTAAAGTTTCATTGGATTAGTGTATATAAAAAACACACACTGACTTCTATTTACTCCAAGCAGCATTTTTATATACATAAGTAAAATAATACAGGCAACTTACGAGGTGTCGAGTTTAAGTTTTCCTTCCATATCTACAAAGCTTGGCGGGTAAGGCCAGGACCGTAAAGAGAAAATCCAGGCCCGGTATTAAATATGAGCCGCGTCCCTTCCTTCCCTACAACAAAATTTTAAATGTTTAAATGGATTTCCAACGTTATCACTTCATACTTGTATAGTGCTTTTGAAAAATACGAAGTTGTCGTCCCTTTATTCACGCAGTATGTGGAGTATGATTTTTTTTTTTATAGAAAAACTTCGTCTAAATGTTTTTGGTATACTGTTGTACAGGCCAAGTATATTCGTAAACTAGTTTTTATTGTTTTAGTCAAAATGCTTTCTTTTAAGCTCAAATAGGCTGTAAATTAATTGAAATTAAATTTTTTTCGAATTTCGAATATTCCGTAACCACTCGATGACTCGATTTGAAATTCGGTGGTAAAATTCGATTATGTACTCGAGGGAGTTGTCCGATGAATCAATTACTGAAAACGATGATTAATCGAGTTACTTAAAATATGATAACTCAAACAAAAAATTTATTTTTCTCGTTAAGAGAGTTTGTTTTGGAAAATGTTTAACTTCTTTTGATAAGCTTTTATTATGTTTCCCCTGTGTCTAATAAAATCTTGCAACACATTGTTAACCATCTTCTCGATGATCTAGAGACTTGAGACTTAAAACCCAGCTCATAAATAATCCTCTGGGTGGCTTAGAAGTCGAGACATTTAGAAAACCCGTATTTATGAACCAATATGGTTTATATTTGGAATAAATATACATTACCTAAATAAATAGGAATAACTCCACAAAATGTTTGTACAATAGGTGGCGCAGTAGGCGATATATTTGCAAACCCCATATTTATGGCAAGACTGTTTAATTTTTAGAATGTATATACATAAGGGTTGTGCAAAAATGCATGTAGAAAAAGTAACGTTGGAACTTTTATGCTCTCACCCCTTAAGATTGTTCTATACTGAAAAAAATATACCCCAATTTTTTTTTATTTTGAAATCAAAAAATATTTAGAGGTCGCTCAAAGCGCCTAGGGTTTTCCATGTATTTTATATGGGGAAAAACAACTTTTCGTAGAAATGGTATAGAATTCTTAAAAATCAATATTTTTCTATCTGCTTATCTGCAGGAGATTCCCAGTAATAATACCTAATTGTTTATTTAACCATATTTTCTTTGCAACTGTAATTTATAGGTCCGCCAAAAACCCCTAAAAACGCAATGGGGGACCAACAATAAATCCTTAGTATAAAAAAATGGTTAAATAAACAATTGGGTATTGTTACTGAAAGTCTCCTGAAGAGAACCAGAGATTTTCGATCGAAAAATATAGATTTGGAAGAATTTTATCCTTTTTCAACGAAAAGTTGTTATTTCCCCATATAAAAATACATGGAAAACTTTGAGCGCGTTGAGCGACCTCTAAATATTTTTTGATTTCAAAATAAAAAATATGGGTATACCTTTGTCGATATAGAACAATCCTAGGGGATGAGAGCATTACAATTCCGACTTTACTGTTTTTGGACCACCCTAATGAACATATATTACCTAAATGGCAAGAAATAACTCGACACATTTTTTTAACGACTAATAAAGGATTGTCTTTAAAAACCATTTTTTTTAATTTCTTGTTTATAATGTGTATAGTGTATAGAAAAAAAAGTATTTCATTTAATTTTTGGGAAATGAAATGTTATATTCAACATATTTATCAAGGGAATTCTATTTAATTATATGTAAGGACTACTTTAAAAATTTGGGTACTCATTTTGCTCACAAAGCAAATTACTCAAATATTTTAGTTTTTTAGTTAATCAAAATCTTGATTACTCGAGTAGCACTAGGTCATATGCATTTGCACGAATGTATGTATGTATACTTATACAACGAAGAAAACATACATCCGACCCCGCACTCTCTAGTCGCGCTTTGACAAGGCCTATGTATCGACTCACGACTGGTGATGCTTGTAACTAGATTCGACGCCGAAAACCTACTGGAACTCTACTGCAATATATACAGACGGGACAAAATTACACCAAACCGCAGGATGTGTTCTATACTCACAAAAAAATATCTCCATAACTGAGCTTTTGATAATTTCAGCGTACTTGAGCTGAACTTACAGCTATGAAGGAGGCCGTACAGGACTGGTTTTGCATGCAGAAATTTCTGCAACGCCGTCAAAAAACGTAGTAGAGCATAAGAATACTCTTAATGAACTGCCAACTATGTATAGTGCCATAAGATATTATGGGGTCGAAGAAGTATGTATGTACATGTACATTACTTATGAAAAATGAGGACAATTTCAACGCTGTCTAGCTAAAATATTTCTGTGGCTGTCCTGAAAAACAAAATTTTTTACATACATAGGGAGGTTAGGTTAGGATGGCTGTTAGATTAACTGTCCTTTATGTTGCCATTACCCTAGGGAGAGGCAAAGGAGTGGTTGAACGGCGACGTCTAAAGGTATGTGGAAGAAACACGTGCCCAAAATGTTTAAAGCTTACAGTCCTCAAAACAGGATCTTGTGCTTACCTTATCTCATGAATACCGAAAAATTACCGAAAATAACTCCCGCCAGTAATATGAGACGTGAATTGTTCAGTTTTCATAGTTCCCTTGACCAACGAGAGTTAACCCCCGGCCAGAAGGCTCTAGCCACTTTGTCTTCCAAGTTTTTGGAGCAGCGTTCGATAAGCTGAATAAAAGTTAAACTGTCTACAATTAAACCACATGTAGCCAATGAAATCTCCACCAATTCCTTACTCGTTGAAAATTCCTCAAGGGTGCCTGCGATATCACTGTGGCCTGGAATCCAAACAAGAATGATAGCGAGGAAACCTGATGCGATCGAGAATCATAGAGACAATAAGCCACCCTCCGCGATAGGCGTCAGGGCTTGTCTACTTTGCCCATTTCTCTATGTTGGGATTTCAAGAAAGTTTGCTGTCAAGGATCTAGCCCATCTACTTCAGCTTGTCAGAGAGCTTTAGCGGAAAACCGACCATCGAAAAAGGTTGAAAAGTTATGATTTTATGTATAGTAAAAAGAAGAAAGTCTATTTTGTTGCGTTTACACATAAGCCACAGGCACGCGTAGGGACGAACAAAGCCTTTTCATTGTGTTAAGCCTAAAATAGGCTGACTTCCAAAACGTCAATTGCTTTGCATACGTACAAAGTATAACGTTCACTAACGCAGAACTACAAAATGTTGACGATGTATACTTTTCCAAAACGCATCCCAAAATTTATCGAAACGCATCGCTAGCGCAATCAGCGCATCAGAAACAAAGTTGATGCTTCGTTTGTTATTGGTTACCATTGGTGTTTTAAAAATGGAAAATTCATAAAAATTGTTCATTGGTATATTGAGTATTTAAAATATGCAATGTATATGGTTGCACTGTGTCGCAAATTTGCATATACAAACAGTTTGAATACCGCAGTATAACAGTTTCCAAACATTGTATTGATACGTTTTGGAAGCCAGCCATACATACATACATACGTAGGCATACATATTTATATATTCTGTATACGTGTTTGTACTTTTCCATACAAAACGTTTTTAATGTTTTATCAAAAGTATTTTATTTTACAATTTATTGATTATAAATTATTTAATTTATATATATGTATGTATAGTTAGAATAAAATCAAAGAGAAGTGAGAATATTCGTTGTGAGTTAAAATAAAATCAAAAACAAAATTCTACTTAATAATTTGTTTACAATAAATTGTCAACATTTAACTAAATACGTACAAACAATTTTATCTTAAGCTTAAAGTTATTCTTAAACTACTAAGGAAAACGAAACAATAATCACAAAAATGTATTAAAACTATAAAAATATCTTCACAAATTCATAGAAAAACAGTTTTGGTAAATGAAATGAGGACGAGTTTTGTCAGGAAAGCCACTCTCCAATTAAGATATTTTTGAATGAGTATTTGTATTGCATTTAATCGCCGGTTGCATATTTGCATTTTTTTCTGGTGTTCATATGTATATAAAATAACATTCACATACATATGTATGTGTACATACATATACATGTTGATTTTAATATTACTTAGCCGCCTACTACTCCTTACAACCGAGACCAGCCGCCCAGTTGCACATACCACCCACTGGATCGTAGCTCAGCCCCTTCGGACAAGTGTACTCCCAACCGACAACACCGCCAGTCTCGAACTTGGCACAGGAAATGAATTTCCGACAAGAGAGTGGATGCGGGAAATTACCTTGATCCAGACACTCGATTATGCCACGTCCATGTAAAATCACCTTTAACTGAAATCAAGTGAAGTATTCGTTTTGCCTTCATATGATATCCATACATAAATATCTAGATGTCGCGGTCACTCACCTGTTGCCCTTTCGTATTTCCCACGACGCGCTCGTTCTCATCGTCATAGTAGTCGTAGTCGACCACCTGTCTTTGGCTGCTGCGGCTTGGCGTTTTTGCCGGCTGATTGCCGTTTAACCTGTCGTAAGTGTCTGCGGCTGCATACTTGTTGGGCCGTCTACGATTGACGAATCCATCTTTCACTGCCTGTCCTCGCTGCGATACCTTTACTTCTGGCGGCGTTTGTGGTGTACTGGGCGTGTACTTTTGTGGCCTTCGCTTGACACCGACGGACTTTCCTGAAATGCAGAAATTAATTGCAATCTTCGATATTAATTTCCGCAGGTAAATTAGAATAACTTAATTAAAATTTTACTAACGTTTTGGCGCAGTAAATTCAGTGGTAGCGGCAACAGTGCCCATGCGTCGTGTGATGGACTCCACATAAGTGTGGTTTGGTTCAACAGGTGAATTCGACTTGGTTGTATGCGATGACTTCAAAGGTGATGCCTTGATGCCGCTCGTCAGCTCACGTCTAGGCACCTGTTCTTCATTGTCGTCGGTGTTTTGTACAAACTGATTGAAATGGTTTGTATGGATGCTCGATTTGGCCACTTGATCACCGACATCGTCGACTTCAAATCCATCCACAAAGAGTGTTGTGGTGAGTGGATCAGATGAAGAAATTGTGCTGGTAGAAATGACTGTGCCATCAGTGACAGTGGGATTGGCGGCGAGCGAAAAGCGGCGCTTAAAAAGTGGGTTCTGGGTGCGAGGCTGTTCGGTGGCTAGAAATGGAAAATGTACAATTAAATAAATATTTATTATAAATATTTGATTTTTGTTAAAAAAGTCTTAAGATGTATGACGTTTTTTTTTTGTTTAGCCCCTGGACCTTTTCAAACACCAATGGTTTTGATAAAAAAAATTGTTCGACCACAAAATGTATTTTTCGGTAGGTATACTGAAATTTGGATATATGCTTATGCAATATATATAGAGATACTTACTTACACATAAGAGTAAATGGTACATTATGTAAAAGTAAACAGTCTCCAGAATATGATTTTTAGTTTTTCTTTGCAGTAGTATTAAATTCTATATTTTTGTTCGTTTTGAATTCTATTTGCAAAGGTTCCTCTAAAAATTATGTAAAGTTAAATTTCTAATCTGAGATATTTCTTAGCTTAGGGTCCGTTTTCACAAAATTATCTGCACAGCTGTAGCTTTTTAAAACACTTTTTCTCAGACAGATCAACATTAAGAATTTGCACAATAGATCTAAGGTCGCAGTGCACATCCTCTAACATTAAGAATTTCTGAAATTTTCGGATCTTGACATTAATACAAGAGATTGTGTAGTAACACAAGTAATTGTTAAGCAAAAAATACAACCGACTTCAATGATCATATACAAATTTTACTGCTAATTTCTTCATGATCCAATGATCGGAACTATATCAAATTAGTATGGGATCACCCTAGAGGTACCACCTTTCCGGTTCACCAAAGTTATCCGGTAACATATAAAAAATAACCCTTCGATGAATTGACAACCTTCCTGCTTATTTTAAGTCGATGAAAAAAGAAATATAACGCTGTCCAAAAGTTCATTAGCCACTAAAAAGCTACAAAAAGCTGTACAATATTTTTAATTACGGATAGAAAGAGCCCACGCCACGGGTTGGCAGATAAACAGTAAAGATAAAGTCCCTTAGATGGTTTTAAATTTAATTTTAAAATGGCCTAGTCCATGTTTGGGCCTCGGAGTGTACGTACGTCTAAAACACTGGAAGCGTGCGTTCCGTTTATCACAACAGGATCGATTTGGTTTCACGTTTTTCAATCTGGAGACAGGTGCGTAGCTTGATGAATATTTTTATTCTTGAACCCAGTACTGCATACTATAATGATTCGGGCCCCGGCGTAGTCGATTAGACTCCACACACCACCAAAAAGCCAACATGGCAGCTGTAGTGGTGGCCGCTGTGGTGTAGTGGCTAGCAGTGCGCGCTACCACTCCGCAGGGCCGGGGTTCAAGTTCTGGTCAAAGAAATATCGCAAAAAAATATAGAAAAAAAAGTAAGTGCGGCTGGGCCACACTGGAGAAGTGAAAGTTACGTAACATATAATTTTTGTCTCATAACCAATATCCATGCATACTTATGTACGTACATATGTATGTACATACATCTGCTTTTGCTTAAGGTTATATTTTTTATCTTTTTTCTATCTATATCCCTACCTCTACCCCTGTTCGTTCTAATAACATTTATGTTATTCTGTTTTCCTTTATCATTTTTATCTTTATACTCTATCGATAACAAAATCGATAGTAATATCCAACATAATATCAATCACAAAACCGACAAAAACTGTCGATAACAAAATCGATGACAAATTCGGCAAAAATTTCGATAGCAAAATCGATAATAATATTAGTATAAAATCGACGAAATTATCGATAACAAAATCTATAAATAATCGATAACGAAAACGATAACAAAAATCGATTAGAAAATCGATAAAAATATCGATAACAAAATATACAAAAATATCGTTAACAAAATCGGTAAAAATATCGATAACAAAATCGATAAAAGTATCGATAAACAATCGACAATAACGGTACCGATAACAAATGCGATAAAAATATCGAAAACAAAACCAATAACAATATCGATAACAAAATCGTTAAAAATATCGATTACAAAATCGGTAAAAATATCGATTATTATATCGAAAAGTTCCGATAATATCGACAGAAAAATCTACATCAAAATCGATACAAAACAGATAAACATATATATTATTATATCGATATGTCACAAAATCGATAAATATCGAAAACAAAGTCGATAAATATCGATAACAAAATTTATAAATATCTATAACAAAATCGATACATTTCGATAACAAACAATAACGGTACCGATAACAAATGCGATAAAAATATCGAAAACAAAACCAATAACAATATCGATAACAAAATCGTTAAAAATATCGATTACAAAATCGGTAAAAATATCGATTATTATATCGAAAAGTTCCGATAATATCGACAGAAAAATCTACATAAAAATCGATACAAAACAGATAAACATATATATTATTATATCGATATGTCACAAAATCGATAAATATCGAAAACAAAGTCGATAAATATCGATAACAAAATTTATAAATATCTATAACAAAATCGATACATTTCGATAACAAACTCGATAAATATCGATAACAAAGTCGATAAAAAATATCACTACCAAAATAGTTAAAAATATCGATTAAAAATTCGAACAAATCGATAAAAATATCGACTATTATATCGATAAGTTCCGAAAATATCGATAGCAAAGTTGATAATAATATCGATAAAAATTTCGATAACAATCGATGAAGATGTCGATAAAAAAACCGATAACAATATCGCTTATTTTATCGAGAAGTCTCGAAAATCCCGAAAGTCTCTAAAATCCCAAAATAGTTCCCAGATTGAGTATCTGTGTCTCTCTCTATATCCTTTCCTCTTTAATTACTTTTATTTTAATCTTTTTTCCCTATCTTCATCTTTACTTTTATCGGTATCCTCATCCTCATCTTTGTTTTTATTTTTATGTTTATCATTTTCTTCATCTACATATTCCCCTTCACCTTTGTCCTTATACATATAAGTATAGTGTTTAAATTTACCTTGGTCTTCATTTTTGCCTTTATCTTTACCCATATTTGTTTTTGTTTTTATTTTTACCTTTGCAATTATCCTTTTCTTTATCTATGTACGTACTCACCTTTACTTTCATTCTTGTATTGGTCTTTTTCTAGGTGTTATTCTTTAACCTTTTATTAGGAAATTTTTGATAAATTAATACCATATGCATACACACAAGGAGCACTTGTTTCAGCCCCAACCATTTCCGTTGCACCATTTCCGTTGCATCATTTCCGTTGCATCATTTCCGTGTGCAATTTCTGTTGAATTTGCCAATTTACTACCAACAAACCAACCGCCGCTAAAGAAATTTCACTTCAAAAAGGTTTTTTCTTAACAGCGGTCACCCCTCGGCGGTCGCCCGGAATTCAATTATATTATATGGGCAAATCTAAAAAACAGGTAACCTTTGTGTTAAGTATTTAGCTTTATTTTCACTGTTGTAAACTATATCAAGCTGGTTGCTTTTGGATATAATTCATTGACGTATACTTGAAGCCTCAAACAAAATTTGGATCAATTTGCTGCATAACTTTTGAATTATAAGTGTTTAAATAAAAAAAATAATAAAAACAAGCGAATTTTTATGGTAAGTAATTTTTAAGAGGAGCACAATTAATTATGTCACAACTTTTAAAGCACACCATATTCTGATTTGAAGTTTAATGGGTATTTAGCATTTAGAAAAGTGTGCATTCAAAAATTACGAAGTAGCAAGTAACTCAATGTCTGTACCTCCACATTTCACAAAATTTTCAAAATCTTCGGTTTATCGTGTATAGTTTTTTAAGAATTTAATTTTAAGAATTTTTTAAGCATGTATTGTGTTCCACAAACAATTGCGAATAATTTTGTACCTTAGCTAAAGGTGTGCTTTCAGAATAAACCAACTTTTAAAGATAAACTATTCTGCAATCTTAAGCGTAATTTTTATTCCAAAAACATCTTAATTGAAGCCACATTTGGAAAATACGTCGAAACGATCTAAATATTTTTATAACTACTAGTCCTTATAACGTTACATATACCTGAAAAATGCTTCAAACAATTTTTCTCTAGAAGTGTGTAAAACTCTGATTTAGTACTTTTAATTATGCTCCTTCTTTTAGTCAGAATATTTCGAGCGTGGCATCAAATCAAAGTTATTTCGACAAAGGTTCTGATATTTGCTTTTACTTAATTGGAGTCTTCTAAATTCAATGGCGTCCCCAGTTTTGCTCGATTGGCTCCACTGTTGGATATAGCGGTAATTGAAACTTTGCTTAAATTTGAACTATTTTCTAAAAAAACTTCCTCAGTTTTAAAAATATTTTACTAAAATTTTGCACATGGTTGTATTTTAATATTTCCTTTACTACCTCTTAAAATCATCGAAATCGGTTCACTCTAACATCTAGCTCCCATACAACTGAATGTTCAGAGACGTTGTTTTGCGATATAACTCCTCCAATTAAGCAGGTAAAAATTTAGTATAGGTTCAATTTAACATATAGCACGCATACAATTTATTATTCATTTATGAAGTTAAAGTTATAGCGCAAAAACACATATCTGAGTAATCGGTTGTTTGTCCAACATTTTAGCAAAATAAATTCAAAACTGAGGGAGCTATTTATAAAATAGTTCAAATTTAATCAAATATTCAAGTACCGTTATCTCGAAAACCGAAGCAAATCTGGTAAAATGGGGCCCGCCATTGAATTTAGAACGTCTCAATTAAGTGAGCTCAACTTTCAAAATCTTTGCTCAAAATTTACAACTTGAACAGCGTAATTTGAACCCAGCTTATTCTTTTGTTTTCTATTTCATGTTTATTCCTCGTCTAACTTTTGAAACACTTGATGAAAATGAACTACACTTATATTTATCGATTTATTAAGAGATTACGAACAAAATGATATATAAAACATAGGCTCACAAATTTAAAATTTTTTTTTTGTGCAGAGTGTACCTACTTTTTAGATTTGCCCATATAGTTTATGTGCCTACGAGTTAATTTAAATTGAGCTGAACTACAAAGTTGTGATCAACCATCGTCCCATTTATCAAAAGAAGGAAAGTCAATTGAGTTCTCAGAAA